ACTCATTTCTTTCTACACAGGCGTACAGTGCATTATGTAAATGAAAACCTATAAAGGAGGTGAAATCAGGGACGAGACAAAAAACATTGACAGATGAGCTTTCTCCGTCACATCAACATGCCACATAATCACATTAAACAGACAGATTGGGGTATAAGCACACACTGCAGTACAGCTTTTATTCAGAGGGAAAGAATGAACAAAGCAAAGCAGAAAATTTTTACAAAGATTGAACGAAAAATACATGAAGCACAATGGCAGCCGAAACATGTGCATATGTTCTGGCTCTATCTCGCAGTGGCAAATCATTTTTCAGAAACGAGAACGTAATGATGTTATACTCACAGCTGCCAGTTTTCTCATTTGGTAACAGTGGAAAAATATCAGTGACGACACAATAAAACTCACAATTTTACAACAAAAATCTTATAACTATCTTAATTTCAGCTGTCTGCACTGTCTGAGGCTTTATTCGACTTTAATTTGTGCTTTATTATAACACAATCTGTCCATAAAGAACTGACTTAGCTGGAAGTGCAACAGATGAGCAGATTTGTGCTGTTAAAGAAATCTCTCACACAATACATGACAGTCACAAACTACTAGCATTAGTCAGCAGTTTTTCAGTTATTCTCATCTTTTTGTTAAAACAAACATCTAAACAGGACCATGAACACTTGTATTGATCACAGGACCCTGAAAATGTGTTGTTTAAATCAATTTTGTGTTTTTTTTTTTCACAAGTTTTTTCCACAAGTTTTCAGACAATCTCAAAACTTTGATAGCATTTGCTAATGTGTGCACTGTGTTGCCATGGTAACTCCTACACATTCCACCATGAGAGAAACATGTAGAACACCCCCAGCGTGATGTATCAATACTAGGGACCAGAACTCAAAAGAAGTACAGTATAGATATTGCTTAGGTGGGACCAAGTCTTTGTTTGGCAAGTCTCAACTCTCAAGTCTTTGACCTCAAGTCTGTGTCAAGTCCCAAGTCAAATACAGACAAGTCCAACTCAAGTCTCAAGTCACTGGCCCATAAGTGCAGGTCAAGTCCAAGTTGTCTGCTTTAAGCTTCAAGTCATTTCAAATCTTTAAATCAAACTATCAAATATAGTTTAGATTTTTGCAATTTATATGACTTTTAAGAAAAATTTTACTTAAAAAATCATAGAATATTTAGATATGAGTATTTATAGAGTATATTAGAGTTGTAGAAATTAATTTAGTTATTTTTTCCTGTTTAAATGTGTTGAGAAGATCTTAGAATGAATCACTATGATAAAAATAGAAAGAATTCAGATTTAGTGCTTCTCAAGTCTTCTCAAGTAAGTCACAGGCCTCAAGTCCGAGTCAAGTCCCAAGTCATTGATCTTCAAGTCCAAATCGAGTCCCAAGTCTTGACTTTGACTTGACATCAAGTCAAGTCTCAAGTCCTAAAAATAGTGACTCAAGTCTGACTCGAGTCCAAGTCCCAAATTGCAGTCCCCACCTCTGACATATTGTATATTTTTCTTATGTAAATTATGTATCTGACAATCATATACTCTTTAGTGAAATGATGTCGGGCAGACTAAACAAGGACTAAGGCTATGATAAGCTTGGCAAGACACTTAAATATAAAAGTCCAATCCGGTCTAAACCAAGTCACAACCCGGTAGTGTGACTAGATGTCCCAAAAAATTCTAAGATGTTGTACCAAATCCCGAATCCATCCCTAAATGTCCCAAATATTACGATTAAACAGAATACTGAGTAGTTACTTTCTGAGAAACATTAAAAACTCTTTGTGGAGAGATTGCGTCGACTGCACTCAGCCCCTGAAGGCTTTTAAGAGGCTGCGTGCAACCCTGGCTACAATCTATCTATTTTGTTATTTTTTGATGTTCTGCAATTAGGCTCAAATAAGCAATGACGATAACCTAATTTTCATTCATTCGACATGACTGATGTACCAGAACCCCAACACGCCGCTCAAAAAGCAAAAGCGTCATTGCAGGTACAGGGAGGAGTGGGTGGGGAAGTACCCGTGGATTGCCAAAGCCCTAAGCGATGAAATGAAAGCATTCTGTAAAGCAGGGGTCTCCAACGTTTTACTTCCAGTGAGCTACTTTGATAAAATGAAAATGACGCAGAGCTACCTATTTTAGCAGTCGCAAAGACACCGAGTATATATAAGAGCCTCGGCAAGCTTTAGATGCGGAACAGTTAGATGCCTATAAAACAAACCATTATCCATTTATCAGTGCACAAAGTTAGGCATGAAAATGATATATTTACAATGGTGATTAATCAAATTTTACTTATTCAGCACAATACATCTAATTCAGAAATTGCTTGGCGAGCTACTCTGAAGGCGGTAGAGAGCTACTGCGAGCTCCCGAACTACAGCTGGAGACCCCTACTGTAAATTGTGCAGAAAAGAGTTTGGTGTTTCTCATGGGGGGAGGTAGATGTTATTATAGAAAATTATATTATGTCTAAACAAAAACAAAAAAAACACTGTCCTGAATTTTAGCCAATCTCATCTGATCACCCTAAAACTAGGTCTAAATCAGGTCTAAACCAGGTCTAAGGACAGACCCAGGTCCAATGGGAGTAAGTAACACTGCAGCATTTCTGTTCTTTTGCTTGTTCCGAGACTTTATAATTGTGCATTTCTGTCACATAGATTGTGTTACTGTGTGCAAAACATGTTCCTCATCTCCAATCTCTCCATTCCCCTGCGGTGATGGTGCGATTCTTCCCGGCACTAATAGCCTATGACACACTCTCACCACTTTCAAAGCACTTGGATTATTTTTTATGTCATGGAAAAAGGTGTTTTCTTTCGATTTGTCGCACAATTCTCAGAGCAAAACCAAGACAGGAGCATCTTAATACAATTTCAGGTGTATTTTTGTTATAACTCCATAAATGAAAAAAAAAAAGACTTGAAAAAGAGAATTGAAAGAGCTAAACGTATTCAGTACTGACTTGTCACAATTTCTATTAGCGTGTCTCTATCGCTTCAGTCTTTCTCACTTATTTGATATTATTACACTCCTCTGTGTCAGCTGTCAATGAAAAAGATGTTTCCTGTTCTATTTCAAAAGTTTTACCTTTCTAATTATTCATTGAAAGTGTGAAAACCTGCCTATTCACTAATACAAGTTGAAAAGGATAAACTATTTTTTCTCAGTACACATGGAGATAAAATTTGACATGCTAGGGGCGCACTACAAATTCCCATTTTGGTCGAAGAGTCTCTGAAGAAATCCACTTTTATATTGTCAGAGTAGTACTGACAGTGTGTGACTAAAGTATAAACAAAACTATCTCACCCACCATGTATTAAAATGTCAAAATATTTTAACAGCTTCTTTTTAACAGTCACAGATTATAGTCAACTCATATTCATATTTCTGCAAATGATTTTAGATGACCAGATGTAACATTCAAGCTTTGGTCTCGAATAGAAAATAAATTAGAGCCAATTTTAATGATTTGCAGTGGAAAACATGATTTCTCACTGGAAAGGTCAGAGAGTGGGGCTGATTAAATTATGACTACAGCGGGCAAAATCTTAAGAAAAAGAACATGACAAAACCTGCATCTGCAATAACTGTGGCAGAAATATCAATATTAAAGGTCCTTTATTACACAAAATTGACTTCTGTGAGCTTTAAGCCATGTTATAATGTTACCTCATCAAAAACATACCTGGAGGTTGCGTTTTGTTTCAATAATACATGTTTGAGTAACCCTTCATTATTAGTCTGTCGTCATCTCCAAAGCTCAAAATGCACTGTTCCATGTGGTAATTTTCAAGTTAACAGCAAACTTTTACATTTATTTCAGTAGAGCTTGTGGTGAAGGCAAATGGATCAGGCAGAGGAGCACTCCCTGTATAACAACATGATATCACAAGGTGTTTTCTGCTTGAAAGAACTCTCAAATATGCAGCGTTTATGAGTGAATGTGTGAATTAAACGAAATGCAAATCCAGGTATGTTTTCTTTTTAAATGAGGAATCAACATTATAAAACAGATAATAAAAAATGTCCTTTAAATACTATACATTGTGAACATAAGTTGTGACACAGCTGGTTAGCCTGTGTCATGCTTTTAAACTCTTAATATTTAGGTCTATAAGAACAATGAATGGAAAATTTACCTCACGTAACACAGAATAGTACAATCCCACTAAGGCTGTGACAACCTAATCACATACGAGATACTGAAAGCTAATAACAGCAACTAATCAATATCAATACAGCGCCCAATAGAAAGCTCCCAGGAAGTCAATATAAGTAGACAAAGAAAGCTATGTAATAAACCAAGGACAGTGCGTTAGTGTCAATAAGGCTTATTTGTCATTATGCTGCGCTTCAGAATGACCAGCAGTGGCTCTCAAAGCTCAAAGCAATCCTTTTATGTCTTCACTTGTAACCTCTTCACTATTATGTTCAACACATTTATCGCCTGTTCCTACGCCTACTCATTTCCTTCATTCAGATGCCAATGACTTCTGTAAATGACACCTTTAAATACATCAGACACATACACAGAAATATAATGGTAATTATATTCTCTGCATCTATCAGGCTACTATCGGATGACCTCTCAATTACCATTTAAAATGATAAAATCTGTTACATAAATTAAATAAGAAAGTTGCTTGTAAAATAAGGTATCAGTTTGTTAATGAGTTTGGGAAGAAGTACACATGTTGGGTTTTCGTACTTCTTGGAGACATTTCATTGATTTACATTCATTTCCTGGAGACTGATCCTAATCTTAATCTCAGTCACTACTTGCCCAGCCTTAACCTAAACCAAAACTGTAGCCTATTTTATGTAGTTGATCTGGATTTATGTCATGGGGACCTGATTTCTGCCCCAAATAAGGGAGGCAGGTGTGAGTGTGTGTACTGATTTTAGTCCCACGGTGTGGCAAATACCACCCACGTGTTACTTGTATGTGTGACCTCATGTAATATTTAAAAATAGTACTTACCAATGAGCTCCTTGTTCCTGATGTCCAGGGCCATGTTTCGGAGAGCCGTGGCCACAGCACAAACCACTTTATCGTTGTCTATCCTCAGTAACTCCACCAGGATGGGCAGGCCTTTTTCTTTACGAACAGCCGCTCTGATATACACTGACCACTAGGGGGAGAAAACATTGATCAGTATAGTTGATATGAAAAGATTTTACAGATCTCACATAACATTACAATCATTGACAGGCCTACTGATAATTAAAGATAATTCTTCATCACGGCACCTGTTAGTGGGTGGAATGTATTCTGCAACAACGGAATATTTTGTTCTCAAAGCAGATTTGTTAGAAGGAATTTGAAGATTTTTGCCAAATAGTCATGGCAAAATGAGTCAGCCAAAGCCTCTCTACAAGGCATTCCTGATCTACAATGGGGAGTCTGTTCAGCAACTGGTAAAAAGGTTAAGGTTAAGGCACACTGTATTATCTGCGGGACCCATGTCCAAGCTTGGTCAGAACTAACTCAGCCCGAGGATTTCATCTGGTACACACTTTGCGTTTGCTGGTGATGCTTCTTGAGAGTGAATTTGAGAACGAATTGGGTTTAAACAAACAAACAAACTGAAGAAGATTTGGTACCTTTTTATAATAACAACATTATTTAAAGCCTTAATAAAGCCTGAAGAAAGATATGATGCATTATGAATAAATAGTTTATTAAGAATGATTCAAGTTTAGTAACTACTGATTAAGGGGTTAGGGTTGGGAATAGCAGGTGCCAGAGTGGAGCGCCAGTAGCTTAAACTTTGTCATTGTCATGTATGCATGAGTGTTGGTGGTGGTAGAAAAGGCCGATGGAGCAGATTGGCAGTGTCACTTCAGTCAGACTACCGCAGGGCACTGGTGGATAGGAGTGGGGTGTATTTATTACTAAGCCTGAATCATTTTTTATAAACTACTTCTTCATTACAATTGTTTTTCTTCATGCTTTATAGGCTTATATGTGTGGAGGGTTAATACAAATATGAAATAGTTTAACCGAATTCACCAAACTCCAAAATAGACCATAAATTCATTTCAACAAATAATTTATCCCCAAAGTGAAAAGATCATGTTTTCTGGCCAAATGCTTCACAGGCAGAGAGGGGACGGTGCCAACTATACGCCAACACATCCTCCTCTACAGAGACTGTTAGCAGCAGCAGCCTGCACTGAGAGCCAGGAGGGAGGGAGAGCCTGTCCAAGCCAGACACAACAAAACACACACACACACAAGTGGAGCAAGCCCAAAAATAGAAAAGTGATTTCCTGAAGACCACCTGCCCTACATATTATCTCCTTTCTCATTGTTTTTCTGTAGCCTCCTCCTCCATCTCTGTCTACAAATGTACCCAGCCATGATACAGTCCTCCTGCAACTCTAGAGGAAAAGTGCCTTAGTTTCGGTGCCCGCTTCCTGGTGCAGTTGTATTATTTGAAGGTCATTGCAAGTCTAAATCCTCACTTCCAATGCTCACCTCTATATGCACCAACCTTAAGGCTAACACTGCTTTCTATAATTCCTTCCAATATGACTCTATGACTCATACATTATTGCTATCGAGCTGCTTCCATTCGTCAGCTGCTGTCGAACGCTGGCTATACTCCCCGGGGTGCCAGAGCTTTGGGCCTGAACATTATTACAGTAATTGTATTCCTACTGAACAATATTAGCTTCCACAGAAACACTGAGCCGAGAATTGCCTTTTCAGAACTTTTCTAAGCTGTCGTGATTTTTTAAACACATCTTAGTTTGAAGTTGTTTTTTTTTTTTTTTTTGTAAGTTTCAAAACAATGCATCTACCACTTCCACTTTATATCTGGTTTAGCCCAGATTCAGTCCTGGTTCAGTTTCCAGTCCTGAAGTAGACCTAGTATACTTCAATTATTAAACATAGACCATATTTTTCTTGGTTTCTGTAAAAGGAATAATTTTTAAACATATATTAGAACCATAACTCTATAATTTAAGTTCTATTTCAGCTAATTAATTTCCATCACCACTTTTGTAAAGCAAATCCCTAACCTCTTATGCTTTTAAATAGGAAATGTGCCCAATGAATTGCAAGAGCAGAAGGTCAGACAAGAAGTCATATTAAATATAATAAGAGGACTGGCAAAATGTATCTTATCCTAATTTAAACTAAACTGAAACTCTAAATGCCCTTTAAAGGTAGAACAATGATTTAACATCACTAAATACTGCAATATTTCTCCTCCGAAAGTTTCAGAAGGTGAAATGAGAAGTGAAGAGGGCTGAGTGGGCTGCTGAACTGTACCTTCCAGCTGCCTGCGGCCAGGTTTTGCAGAGCCCCGGCCGCTCCCTCCAGCGTGTCAGGATTAGAGCACTCAGACAGTAAGGTGAGGTAGGGCTTGACGATGGTGGGGTGCCAAAGCATCTGGACTCCTTTGGGGGGCTCAGGAGTGTCTGGAAATGGGCCCACTCCATCCCACTGTGAGGAGAGAGACAGAGCAGAGATTTCTGTTATTATTTTTCACAAATCCATCACTTAAAGGGCTCATATTACGCTATTTTCTCATCTGTTATAATGTTGTTTCCTCATCAAAACACACCTTAAGTTGTTCCACCTTGTAAGGCCATGCAGTAATATAGAAAGTGCTCCACTGTACATGTGTGAATGAAACAAAACACTCCAGGTTTGTTTTTGATGAGGTAACAACATTCCTACATCAATTAAAACTCATATAGCAATACATGGGTTCAATTAAAATCTTTAATAAAAATGCTTAAATGATTATAACAGAAGGTGGGTTAATAAATACATTTACGAAGGCTTTAAACATTAAGTGGTGTTCCAGTTCCCCAATCTCAAGCATGAGCTACTTTTGTAATCATGAATAATACTATGAAATGTAATTTTTTTTATTTTAAGCAAAGTTCAACAATCAATAAGTCACAGTGTACATTTGTAACAACATGGAATGTAGGCAAATTAAAAATGCACCCAAGAAAAAATATTGAAAGATGTCTCAGTAGTGCCACCTCAAAAAAATTAAATAACAATAAATAAATGGGAACCTTATTTTAAATTGTTACCACCACTACCCACACGTCTGTAAAGAAAATGGGCATAAAAATGTTATAAAATATTTTAACGACCTCTTCATGCCCAGTGCATGCTCAAGTCCTCCAGCTTTGTGGAACTGAAGGTTATCCATGAACTCAACAAGACAGAATGTGCTTAAATACCTCTTTTGTCCCTCCCAATGATTACATCAGAGTTTTAAGGTTTTACTAAACAAAATACATGGATTAATAATATTTCTGACATTAACAAATGAACCAAACAGCCCTCCATATGGCCATGTGACATACTAATACTTATGGAAACACATTTTCCTCCCTTCATTCATCTTTCTTAAAAGACAAATGTAGAAAGACGTCAGATTGTTCCCCATCATAAATAAGATCTTGGTAATTTGTCCAGGACAGAGTTCCTTTTATGACATTTTCAAAATAAAACTTTTTGAGGGCACTAGAGAGTCTTTTTTTAGATAGCTGCTTGATTTGCATATCATTCCAGCTCGCAAATCTGCACACATGATTTATTCTGTTCATTCCAATCAAAAGTTTATACAAGCTTAAAAACAATAACTAGTGCTTTACTAAGGAACCTTCATTGAAAGCGTTACCAGATCTTCAGTAAAAAAATAAATCATAGTAATCATAAATCATAAATCATAGGAATTGTAGTCATGGCTCCATCCTTATGATAATTATGGTAAATGTATATTATAACAAATATTTTGTTTTGTTTTAAGGTGATCTTGTTATGAAGTAATGTAGGAAAAGGATGATTGCTATGGACCATATGGGCTGTGTCTGTCGTTAATAAAGACAGACTGTGACTCAACAACAAATCCTCAAGGTGAACCTGAAATATTTTTAAGATAGCACAGCTTAAACCTCATACTGATATAGTAGATTTTAGTTCGATATTCGGAATAATAACAGCAATTAAAGTTTCTTTTTTACAATTTCTAACATGCCCTTTATTTACAGTGCTTGCTCTTTTAAAGGTTAAAGTTAGCCTATCAATTCTAGAAATTACAACATCATTCATGGATGGTGTGCTTTATAATTATCCCAGAAAGACTGAGCACATGTGAATGAAGCCTGTGTTACCAAATAGAACACCCTGACCTATTAAAAAGTCAAAAGAACTGAGAGAATTAGCAGGTAAATCACCAGCTGTACCCTCAGTATTAAAGTCAGGGAATGGCAGAGGAGGGGAGAGGAGATGAAGAGAAATCTAACAAAAACATCTTCAAACAGGGAACTTTTCATGTAGTTTTGAGCTTAGCACCTAAAACTTTGCCCCTCCCTGCATCTGTCTCTCTGACCTCACGACATCCTCTGCAAAAATAAAGGCATGTGATAATAGATGAAATATCACATGAACTATGTAAACACTTCAATGCATAACTTTACATTTGATTCATTAAAACATATTTGATCTAAACCTTAATAACAGAAAGAGGCCCACTGACTTGCCTGGCATCTTCAAAGTGGCATTTCACTTTATTATTATGATTTTTATGTATTTATTTATTTGTATTTATAAATGGCCATATGACACATTTTTAAACTTGGACAGAGATATGTGATAGGTTAAAACAAAAATCTTCTCTTCACTCAAGCCTCAAAATGTAGGACGATGCAGGATTACTCAAAAATGCATAAATCAAAATCCAACTAAGATAATGATAAGGAAAGACCACAGTTAAAAGCTCATCCAAGTGCAATATAAATTTCCTTTAAGACCTCTTTGTAGACTGATGTGCCCACACCTTTTTGTGCAACCTGCTGCCGTGCCCTCTCTCTCTCTCCCCTCCTTTTGTCATTTATATCTTGTCCCACTTTCCGGCGCTGTTGATCGCCCCTCGATTCCTCCCTTTTCTTGCTCAATCCCTGTTTACCTCGTCCTGTCTATTTCCTCCTTTCTCCACACATCCCCAGTCCCTGTTGACCTCCTCAGTTTTGCTCGGCTGCTCTTCCCCTTTCTGCTGGTCTCAAGGTAAACTAAACTAGCTTGTGTCTTTGGAGAGGCCCTGTAAAGAGTCTATGCATGCATCTTTTTATCTATACATAGAACCTTTAATCATGAACTCAAAGCTGCTTATTCAAGTATGGTAATATGAGACGGTATTCCCACATACATGAATAATAACATGGCAGAAAGATACAATTTTTTCAGTAAATTGACAAAATATGTACAAATGAGATGTGTACTGAAACTAAACTTGAAAAATATAGTTTAAGGTGATCTGTCTATCCATGGGTTTCAGAGTGATTAAGATTAGCTCTGTTGCCAAACCTATTAACAATTGAAAACTATGTACAAAAATATATCTTTTGAATGGTAAATACTACTCAAAATTGCCCCTACAAACAGGAAAGATTAGGTAAATGACGGTAGTTAAAGGGACAGTTCAGAATTTTGGACATAGAGCCTCATTTCAGGGATGGACATTTAATACAACCCAAGCCTTGTATGGACTGTATTTCAAGAAAATACCAGATTGGGGTTCAAGTTTTAAAGGGACAGCCTGGAATTTTGGACATAGGACCTCATTTCCTAGTGAGCCAGAGTGTTGGAGACATGTGGAGGTACTTTTTAAATATTTCATTCAGTCCTTGTATTTGCAGAGGTTACTGGTGCTAGGAAACCCACCCTGCTATTTGGGAAATGGGTTTCCTCCGCAGGGTGACTGGGCGCTCCCTTAGAGATAGGGTGAGGAGCTCAGTCACACGGGAGGAGCTCGGAGTAGAGCCGCTGCTCCTCCACGTCGAGAGGAGCCAGTTGAGGTGGCTCAGGCATCTGTTCCGGATGCCTCCTGGACGCCTCCCTCGGGAGGTGTTCTGGGCATGTCCCACCGGGAGGAGGCCCCGGGGAAGACCCAGGACACGCTGGAGGGACTATGTCTCTCGGCTGGCCTGGGAACGCCTTGGGGTCCCCCCGGAGGAGCTGGAGAACGTGTCTGGGGTGAAGGAAGTCTGGGAGTCCCTGCTTAGGCTGCTCCCCCCGCGACCCGGCCCCGGATAAGCGGACGAAAATGGATGGATGGATGGACTGGTGCTAGGCTAGTGCATGTCAATGGCCATAGTTAGCCTGCCACTAAAAACAGTCTTATCCACTCCACAAAGCACCCGAAGCAAATCTATTATTACGCCAGACTGTTGATGTGAATGTCTGTGTCGATAAAATCATTTTAGAAGTAAAACCAACTTTGCATTTGAAGGATTTATGTCTAAGCAGTAGCAGCACGTTGTACTTCCTCATAGAAAGCTTGGCAGCGGTGGATTGATATATGACAAAATAGGCCCTCAACATGCAATGATTCATGCAGGGCAAAGTTAGTTTTATTTCAAACATTTTTCTATCAACACAGACATTTACATCGATAGTCTGGTGTTATAATTGTTTTGCCTCGGGTGCTCTGTGGAGTGGGTAAGTGTTTTTAGTGGTAGGCTAACTATTGCAATTGACATGTACTAGCCTAGCACCAGCGACCTCTGCAAAAACAAGGACTGGATATAATTTTTTAAAAAGTGTCTGCCACACGTCTCCAACACTCTGGCTCACAAGGAAATGAGGCCCTATGTCCAAAATTCCAAACTGTCCCTTTAATAAGTGTATAACATATTTCACTTTTTACTCCTTTAGAGCATTGTATGGTATTGTCAATTTTAGAATCGTTTGTCTCTTTCTACAGCTCAAACTAAACTGAAGATGAAGAGTGAAGAAGGATCATGTCTGGATCTGGTCTGTTTGCGTCCATGGGTTTACTCCTGCTTCCTCTGATCATCCATAGAGGTTCCTTGGCTGCGTATATAAAATAGAAAGCCTTGCAAATAGCTGGCCACTTTCCCGAGTACACCACTGCTAATAATGTCAACAATTACAGTTCCCACTACTACAGAGGAGCAACGAATATTACCACAAAGCAATATGAGCATAATCAAAACTCTCTTCAGACTAATAAATCACATAGAATTTTTGCAATTTACACCATCGATAATGTGACCATGTACCCAGCTCCAGCCAATACATTCTGGTGATTATAAGAAAAGCTCTCTGTAAAAGTGGAAATAAGCTCAGTGGAGAGTTAGGCTTGCAATTTCTAGCACTCAACACCAACAATGAAATATAATACATTCTCATAAGTGCACCTAGTCACATATCAAATGGACAATAACCCTTCTACAAGCTTGCTAATGGGTCAAATCACAAATGGGGCTGGCATCATGGCTGTAGTTACAGACAGAACACTGAGTAATAGCATAAAAGACTGGCACCAGTGCACTGTGTCGGTTTCATTCATTTAGGTCCAGACCGGGCCTTGCTGTCTGACCCTTAATAAATAAATAGCTGACTACAATAACTTCAGACCAAACAGACAATCAACTAACATATTGTAACATGTGATTTTTGTATTGTAAAGAAATGTATCACAAACGATCCCTTGTCAGCTGCTAAAAATAAAAGAAATCATCATCACCATCTTCACTTTCTGTGGTCCAAGCAATGTCAACATCCACTTAGTTTGGCTGATGTGGTCCTATATTATGCAAAATGGACTCATCTTCATCAAAAACATTCTTGGAGTTGTGTTTTGTTTCATTCACACATGTTTGAGTAATCCTGCATTATTAGTCTGTCTACATCTCCAAAGATCAAAATGTTCTCTTCCACCTTGTGATGTCATGTGGTGGTAGTTTTCAAGTTAACCTTTTGTTTGTAGAGATGAGCTAGTCCAGAGGTGAAATTATCCAAACTATTCTTATAAAGCCTAAATATGCAGGATTTGAGTGTTAAACATGTGTGAACAAAACACAACTCTAGGTATGTTTTTGATGAGGAAACAACTTTATAACATAGATCAGAAAATAGCATAATATGTGGTCTTTAAAGAATTACTAGAGGTTGCTTATACCCCTAAAAGCTAAGAGAGTGAATGGATAATGCAGTGAAAAGTGACTTTGAGTGTTCTAAAAGCACAGTTTGAAAGTGATGCATGGTTTTATTATTTTTTAAGGAAAAAACATTGAGCCTGAAGCAATTTACTAGGGCTGAACAAATGATTGCAAATGCTGTTACTGCAAATGCAATGCGGCCTTGAAAGTATGTATTATAGGAAAGCAAAGTGGTAATATATAGATTTTTTTTAAGTGAGAAAGTAAGTTTGAGTACTAGAAGAATAACTTTTAGACATATATTTAAATTATTAAGTAAAAAAATACAGAATATAAGAATTTGACACTTTCAGCTCTTACGCATGAAGCTAATTCTATATCCATCTGTTCTATTCTTGACCAGACTGATCTGTGGAGGCATTCATACCTCTTAAACATGTTCTTCAAGAGGTACTTATAGCACATGTTACATGGTAGGCGGCAAATAAAACCTGTAAGTTTAAAAAGCCACTTGAATAATAATGATACTTATTATACTTATGCAATGGATTTCTGTAACACCATTTAATCCATGCTCTCCCTACTCTCAGATGTTAAAACACTATAGCTACAACTGCCCTGGGGTAGACTGAAGCGAGGCTGCTGATCTGTGCCATTGGCCGCTCTGATTATCAGTCACTCATGCATACATTTCATTCATTCTAGGCAAGGTGAGTGCAGTGTCTTGCCTAAGATCACAACAACAGTATAGAGTGGAGCTCAACAATAATCCCCCGCTGCGATTCCAAAAGTAAATTTTCCACTAAATTTTTCCTTTAGATTTTTCGAAAGTGACATCACAGAGGTTAGCCAGCTATGCGGTAACTATTATCCATAACGCGGTTGTTCATGAGGATGCAAGATTCTGCAAAATGCTTTAATCAGATTTCAGGGTTTAAATGAAATTATAGGTCTTGTGGTCATTAGTTACCACATGGCTGATTAGCCTTGAGCAAGCTTGCAAATATTTAATGTGAGTGTGTGTGTGTGGGTGGGGGGGGTGTTACTCCAGGAAGCGGGGGGTATTCCCAGTGGTCTCCTATTGAGGTACAAACCAAGCCCAGCCCCACTAAGCTTCCCAGATCAATTACTGTATTCTCACCTGTTCTGCTCCCTTCTTTTTCTTCTTTTTCTTTCCCCAGCAACCAGAACTCTCTGCGTCTCTTCCATTGGCATCGCAGAGCAACCCGTCCAGGTCCTCTAACCCTCCCTGTTGTCCGTGGGAGGTTTCCGCCGCCAGCCGATATGATAGGTTTCTTAGGATGCAGACGCAGTTCTCTACAGTCTACAAACAAAATAATAAAAGAGCACACAGTCACAATATCCAATAACAAAATAAAAAAGTAGGAAATGTACTCCTGGTGGTAATAAACTTTGGTTTTTAGTTAGCTATGACTTTGAAATGAGATTACAAGAAACTCCGGTAAATGAGGAAAAATGACAGAGCCCAATATATTGTATCACAGTCCATTAAACAACCAGTTTATGGGCACACCCGGCGGCAGTGAAACGTGCTAGACAGATTACAACAATCAATGGCGTCTATGCTAGGTGCGTGTTTCTGTACAATGTGGGGAGTCGTCAAGTGGAAATTAACAAAGACAAATCATCCATCTTCTCCCCGTCTGACCGATAGTTTACTCAAAAATAACTAAGCAGTGTAATTGGAGGGTCCTGGGAGAGGCAGCAAACAAAGCAATGTGCCACTCCAGTGAACTGCAGTCAGAAATACACTCAAATCTCATTATGGATAAACTAGAAATTGTTATGCATTATTTACAATATTCAGTGGCACTTTGAAATTACACTCTTGAATTGGTTTGTCGGTCTACCTATAGTCAAACCCAATAGACTGGAGTTAAACATCAAAATGACTTAGTAGTAACAGGATAATTGTTTTAGATTTTTTTTTTTTTAATGTATAATGCATTTTTTTGAAGGAGCACTGTAACTTTTCTGGTGAAGTATCTGCAAGATAGTAATTTTCATGGAGGAGTTAAACTGTATCACAGCACTTGACCACCAGACCGAGTTACAGGTCACATCTATGGAGAGCTCATCAACGAAAAATGTATGTTTTTCAAGGTATATTTGAGCTATAAAAACACGTGTTACCCAACAAGTGCAAGACAGATAAAGCACTTTGAGCATTTGAAGAAGCACTATATAAGACTAATGCATTATTATTTTATTCATATTAATGTGGACGATTAGGTAAAACAATAACATCTCCATGGTGATAAGCAGGTGACCCAACCTCCACCAGAAAAGTTACTAAGTGCACCTTTAAAACATGTAATCATGCTTGAGAATGAAACACGACCACACTGTTCATTGAGGACAGATTTTAGGTGTTGATGATGAGTTTCCTAATTGTGCCTCCTCCAATTTATCAGAAAAAGTTTCGAGGGATATTACGAAGTCATTGGATTGGATTTGCATTGAAACTGCTTTGTAACTAGCTTGAGCATGCGGCTAATGTGAACTGTTGGTGCTAGAATGACCACTTGCTGGTAGAGCTGGCGATCTGTCTTTGTTACTGCGTCTGTGACTGGCGTACTGCTCTGGTGAGTGTGGTCAGCCAGCAGAGTGAGCCAGCCGCTTAAACAGTGATTACGGATGTCCATTTAGAAAGGCTCCGAGACGCTGAGACCTTGAGAAGTCAGCCATCCACAACGCTGTTTATGTAGTATTGACTGTGTTGTGACATATACACTCCACCGCCTATGGACTTGGACATGTCGGAAATCTGCTTCCCACAGCAAATGATCTGTGCTCTACACTGCGCTGATTTGCAAGTCGATTCAGTTTTACATAGAATTTTCTCTGAAGGCCCTATATTATGCAAAATTGACACTTTAAACTATGTTATAAAGTTGTTACTTCATCAAAAACATACCTGGAGTTATGTTTTTGAGTTTATGTTTTCATTCACACATGTTTGACTAATCCTTTATTATTAGTCTGTTTACATCTCCAAAGCTCAGAATGCTCTGTTCCACCTTGTGATGTCATGTAGTGGTACTCTAATGTTAACAGCTACATTTTACCTATAGTTCAGCAGAGTTTAGCAATTCCAGAGCTGAAATTATCCAAATGATTCTAGTGAAGAGGTATGGAGTTTAAAAACACAGTTGAGCACTTGGAGCAGTGATCACAAGGTGGAAACGTTTTTCTGAGAAGAACTCGAGATAAGAAGGGTTCTTGAAAGTAAAGCAGAGTACTCTATATAAGTAGGGTTAAACATGTGTGAATGAAACAACACAATATTTTGATAAAAAAAAATAAAACACAGACAAAAAAAGTATGCAATATAGGCACTTTAAAGACAAGAAAAAAAAAAAAAAGAAAAAAAAAACTATAGATTTCAGATAAGTTTTCAAACCTTGGAGCTCTTACTACTTCAACACTAAACTTAATGAAAGTTTATTGGGATGACTTTTTTTTTCTTTTGTTACATTGTCCTGATTTGATCCTGTCTTGATTTGACTGGGTCTTGCTCTAGTCCTGTTTTAGTCCTGGTCTCATTCAGGTTTAGATCTATATGTGGAAATGCGAAAATAGGCCCAGTCGAGTTTTAAATCCAGAAAGTTTTAGAAGAACATTTCAATTTGTGGAAGGTACAGCAACTAAAACTAAATTGCTAATTAACTGTTGGAACATTTAAAAACTCATTTTTTCTGACATTTAGGAGTAACACGCTTTTTCTTCTTTCACTCTCTAATTCATTTGTGATAATTAGCATTTTTGGAAATTTCAATCCTACTGTTCTAAATGCATGAGTAATGGCTTGGAGCTTTGGGCTTAGTCATGGCTCCTATGTTATTCACAGTGTTGCACAGACCTTGCTGTCGATCTCACTGCTGCCCAGAGAGGTCTGTATGACGTATAGCAGAGCATCTGTCAGCCCATCGCACTCCCTCATCCTCCGTCGTGCCTCTTCGCCAGCCGAGCTTACATTCCTGCAAAAAACAAGACCATATATATATATAAAAAACACTGGTTACTCGCAAGCGTTGGTTGTATTTGCCAGTAGAAAGGATAGAAAAACAAATGGAGGGAGGCAGGATAACACAGCGGGGAGGAGTGGGAGAGTGAGAGACCGGGGAAAACCTGGCAGCGCTCCTACATTAAACAATTGAAAAGGGAGCATTAAAATTCTGGATACATCTCAATCTATGCCCTAAAGGCTCACTTCAATTTAAGGCACTTGACTTAAGTCCAAGAGGGAAAAAAAAAAGCCCTCTTTAGTGAGACAGTTGGTGCCCGAACTTCACAGCCAATGCGCCCAGAGAAGCTGCTTTGATAATTTGACAATATTGTTCCATTTATTATAGGGAGGATTTGCCAGTGTGCGGCTCTGAAAGAATGAATAGGATTTTAATTAAACTGGAGGTACAGGTGGGTGGTGTTGGGTGGGATTTTGTTTTAGGGCTAAATCACGATTCTGTCACTGTACCAGACATTGAATCAAAAGCCAGTTTAAACAATTTGTCCACATCAATGGCGTTGTCTGCCCCCACAAATGATATAGTACGATGATTACAGCTTAATTAGGCCACATAGAAACAGCACTAACAGAATCACAGCAGTGTGTATTTAAATTTATGAAGCATGATTTAAGGTCACTGTAAATGACCAATCATCTCAACAACATCAGCCAAATTGCTAAATTAAATTGAAAATGAAATTGTAAAAGGGTAAATTGAGTTGGTAATAAAGACTTTAGGACATAAATTATGTTAGTTAGGGCTGTGGCTCTGTGTTTACAGCATTTGCCCACAAACCCAAAGGCAGCCATGACCAGTACATTCCATTGCTGTACCTTGGGCAAGGCACTTCTTGTTGTAGTTTTTAAAGGTTCTATATTAAGTAAAATTGACTCTTGTGAACTTTAGCACATGTTCGAGTAGTTGGTTTATTAGTCTGTCGCCATCTCCAAAGGTCAAAATGCTCTGCACCTTGAGATGTCGTGAAGCGGTAGTTTTCAAATTAAGAGCTGCCTTTTACCTTTTGTTCAGGAGAAACTGGAAATTCCAGGGCTGCAATTACCCAAATAATTGTAATGAACACAGTGGAGTACTTCCTGCATTACCACATGATATCACAAGATGGACCAGAGAGTTAAACATGTGTGAATGAAACAAAAGAAAGGTATATTTTTGATGAGGAAAAAACATAACATAGATGAGAAAACAGCGTAATTTGGGACCTTTAACTTGTAAATTAGATTTGACTGATAATAACATTCATAATAGTTACAGACAAAATAATGCATATTACAAAATTAGCAGCCTAGCCTAATCTTTCCCATAAGGCTGAAATTATAAATGTGTAAAAAGCATTCACTGTGTCATATGTATCTCTAAAAGTAACTTCAAAATGATCATAGCAGTAGCAGACACTGAAGTTCGACGCATTACTAAGAAGTGATCGTATTAGGTGCACTATTTTTTACTTCTGATTTGTTTCAAAATTGGTGTCCGAAACTTTAAAGATAATTAAGTCTCACACATCGGCGAGCTTCGGTCACACCACAGACTGATAGGTCTAATTGCCAAAGTGAAGATAGGATTAAACAGCTTTCCTAATGGGTGAAATGTCAAATAAAAACAGATGAGGAAGACAATAGAGGTGCGAGTGGTCTTAAATGAAAAAAGTTCATCTATCAGGCTAGAATAATAAAGAGATGGCAGCTGTTCCCCAGTCTATGCGTTGAGGTCAATCATTTATTGTACTGATGAGAAAAAGGGAAAAGGCGAGTGAAAGGAAGACACAAGAACTCAATTAAAACTTTGCGTTCACGGCTCTGCGCTTCCAAGAGAAGGTCAAGTCATTTTCACCCACTTTGAATGCTAATGGGCAAACAAGCTACGAGGAGGACTGGCTTATAAGTACAGCAGGCTCCATCCTCCGTCAGGCCCATACAAAACAACATGGCTACGAAAATACTTCACCTTGACAAATGTTTAACCACCGTAGACAGGAAGCCGCACGCATGAGAACACTGAATGGAGATAATTTATTGCTTTAAAAATGTAGCCTTGAATATTCTGACATTCAGACCAGTAATGTTTTATATCTGCAGTGTGATCATGTGTGAAGGAACTTGACGATGAGCACACACATATGAATAATACTAATGAAAAAGAGAAGATGTTTTGCTGAAAACAACTAATACTTGTGATCTCTGTGCATGGACGTTCCAATATCACATTTGAGAGTTATGATTATTGTGAGAAGAAAGATTGTAATTTATTACATTTTGTAACCAGAAACAACAGGTAAATCCTAAATTTCCTTTCATTCCCATTGTCTAATACATCACAACTGCTCAAATTCCAGAGACCAAATTCATGGAATAAAAACTTCTGAAAGATTAAAGGTGCATTGTGTAACTTTTCTGGTGGAGGTTTCGTCAAAATGCGTTTCTCTATGGAGATGTTACTGCTTTGTCTGGAATGTTTCACAGTAAGTATAACATTAAACCTTTTTATCATCATAGAGACCAAACCAAACCAAGTTACAGGTCAGATCTGTGGCAAGGCAACCCCACTCACAGGCAGAATGTCTGTTTTTCTAAGTATTTTTGAGCTATCGAACCTGTAAAGTAGCTCAGTTGGTAAAGTGTTTGTTCACTGATCCGAAGGTTGTTGGTGCGAATCCCACTCTTGAAATAAACATCATTGGTTGAGCGGCCAGATCCAATGACCCACAGGTTGGTGGTGTGAGTCCAGCTCCCACAGATGAATGCTGTCATTGTGTACTTGGGCAAGATACTTAACCCACCTCGCTCGTATGTATGTGTGTGTGGGAATGGGTGTGTGGTTGCTTATTGTAAAGCGCTGTATTAAAAACGTGACCATAAAGCTGTTTAATGCTATACTATGGAACATTCCAGGCAAAGCAAGGACATATCCATAGAAATGGATGGACCACCAAGCAAAAAATTACCCAGCGCACCTTTAAGGCAAATGAATGTGACATAAAGAGCCAGATAAAAACTCTTGGCATCCTCAGTGTTGTGAGATCAGTCCCTGGCTTGGATAATTTGCTGAATGTCTCTCCCCACTCTTCACCCCCCATTTCACCCTGCCTGCTGTCCTGTTTAAAAAGTATTAACTCAAATATAAACTAACATATATCAGGGCTTTGTACTGGCATATTCAATGTTCCATGTGGGTGGATAGAAATCAGTATTACCAATATCTCCAGTAGAACTTACAATTTTCTTTCCTGACCCTTTCAAAATCTACAATTGCTTTTGAGTTATTCTACCAGCAGACAAACAAACCCACAAAGAGCTGCAAAATACACATGATTGGAGGAAATAAAATTTCACCATTATGTAGTATATACTTAAGGTACTCAATGCCCATTCTCTGCTTGTTATGAAAGAAGTATTGAAAACTATGCTATATGTGTAGGAGGTGTAAAATAGCACTTACAAATCACTCAAGTTTATGCGCTTCTGAACAGCTTGATGCATTATTTTATTTATTTCAATATATTTTCACATTTTGCTATACAATTAAAATATAAAGTTTTTGTTGCAATGGTATTTCGAGCGCAGTGCCCGTATCTATCTGGAGGTTCCCTGGTGCACTGAGGAGGTACATTCACACGTGTGATTCTGTCCGCACTGAGCAGTCTCTGCACATGAACTTCTGCTTTCTTTAATGAAGCAGGAGAGATTGTATCCTTTGAGAAACATGCCATGGCTTATGTGGCCCTCACCAAATCCCACTGTGCAGCCAATAGAGTAGAATAAACTCTAACTATGTATTATCAGGTGCTAGTGTGCCTCTTGGTCTCCTGACATCACTGTTGCAACAGTTTTGGACAAAGGTCTAATATTAAAAATATAATGTAGAAAATAAATTGCTTGGCTTATTTCTCTTCTTTATTTGTTGTGGCTCGCTTTTTTTTTTTTTTAAACAATATTGTAGATTCAGAATGCTTTTGGGGGATATACTTTGTACTCTATTTATAAGTTAGGTTTCAATATTGTATTGTTTATATTTACTTCTACAATATATCGCACTTCAAACTCTGTTATCATGACTGGCCAACTTTTTACAATAAGGGTATTTCATTATTGTTGTGTTCAGAGGTCTCTTGCTAACCACCTTCCCACAAATAGCATCAACATGTCCAGAGACCATGGGGGGGAAATAGTATTTTGCTCAAATTTGAGACATGACATGTTTCTATTTTCATAAGGTTAATAGAGGGCCGGTGACCAACTGTGGCTGCATTATTACAGTTTAAATATTTAAGCGTGCTTTGGCCCTGATTTCTGCTCACTAACATAATATAGACTTGGTTTGGTTTGATTTTAGTCCTGCTTAAGTTGGTCTAGTTCAGGTTCAGTCTTAGTTTAGTCGCAGGTTTGATGCCCTCCAAAAAACTTGATGTTTTTAAAGGTCCAATATAATGCAAAATTGACTCTTGTCATGTTAGAATGCTGTTACCTCATCAAAAACATGCCTGAAGTTGTGTTTTGTTGCATTCACACATGGCTGATTAATCCTTGATTATTAGTCTGTCTACATCTCCAAAGCTGAAATTGCTGTTCCACGTACTTTTCAAGTTGACAGCTACCGTCTACCCTTTGTTTTGTAGAAATGGGCAAATCCAGGGCTGAAATTATCCAAATTATTCTAGTGAAGGTGTATAGAGTTTAAAATGTGTCTAAATACATGCATGCCTATGTTAAACATGTATGAATTAAACAAAACACAACTCCAGATATGATTTTTAAGAGGAAACAACACAAAACGAATGTGAACACACACTTAATGTACCAAGTCCATTTCACTTTCTACATTGAAAACTTGAATTGTCCTTCTCTTAAGTGTGTATGAAGTGCCTTTAAGCCAGCACATAGACTATTACTTTTCCAGGCTGCATGCCATTACCCATGTGCATTGTACATGCCATTTAACAGAATGTGACCTTA